TAAATTAAAATTTTAAAAAGAGATCCCTTTAATTAAAAAAAAAAAAAAGTAGGGCACCTCATACGATCGCCAGGTCAGTAAGGACCAGTTAGCTGTAACCTGGGTTCATTCCTTGGTGTTTCCCCAAGAACAAACTGCATTTTTTAAATTTTTAATTAAATATCGTTTTGCGAGACATTTGTTGCTTCCTGGATTGGCCTGTGCGTTTGTCTTCAGCACATCGCTTTCCTTATGACTTTTGAGTTTAATAAAAATCCTTGGTATTTAATATTATTTGGAAGTCTTTGCTGAAATATTTTAACTCCTGTTCTTCATCCTCTGTGTGTGTGTGTGTGTGTGTGTGTGTATGTGTGTGTGTTTGTACATGTTTCATCATCTACTTGATGTTCTGTCTCAGTTATAATTATGGAATCTTAGAAGTTTTATCTTTTCACACAGAACAAGAATATACCAATTTCAGGAGTTCTATACGAGAGTTGGGCAACTATAAACTTCTCTAAAAAACAATCACCTAAAAGGCAGTATGATACCATAATCTGCATTAATGTTTTTCATTTGCAATGAAATATGAAGACACATATGGTTATTAAGTATTCTTTGATAAGAAAAATGTATACATCCATATCAACTGCTAAATTATTAGCCAAATTTTTCATGAAACCTTACATACACACACCCCTTAAAGCTCTTAAAACTTTCCAAGATTAAGTTAGGGAGTTTAGCTGATATTTAATTTAGAGAATGAATGTCTAATTTTTAGCTTCTTGTGTGTGAACAACTCTTGTTGCATTTGTGGGTGCATCAGAGCCACAGGGATGGATCATTAAACCTCATCCACAGTGACCTGTATAAATAGGAGCAACAGAATAATTGCCTGGACAGTGAACTGATGAGTGGGACCAAAATGTTACATCTGCGTTGGTTTCATTTCCCCATTCTGCAACGCCCTTTGCTCCTCTTTCATTTTAATTTTGTTGGCGATAAAATAGGCTGTGGACAGTAAAATCGAAGATTCTCAGCTTCATGGCAGTGGTTTCCAAATCTGTGTGCACAGAAGAACCTCTACAGAAGCTTAACAAAAATACAGCCTTTCCCAGAATCTGCCTGCAGAAAACAGAGCTGCCCCTCAGGCGACAAGTATGTGGGGACCTGGAAATGCTCTATCCTGCTGGACAGTGTCCACTAGTGACAGTAAAGCAATGCGAGTCCGCTGGCCCAGTGAAATTAATTTGTAAATTCACACTCCAAATTACATTTTTAAAAGTTTGGATTGCCGAGAATATTACAACCACCCAGCAGGCTGTAAGAAGAGACATTACACTCATTTTTATAGCTAACTAAAAGACCAACAGACAACCCAGTTTACATATTCACACCTGGAATCCTGGGCTTCCCTTTCAAACGTGCTCCCTCCCCCAGAGTCTCCATTTCCCTAAATAACACCTGCGCCTTCCTTCCAGGGCTCAGATCCAAACCCGGGAGCCCTGCCGGATGCCTCTCTTTCCCTCCACCCATGTCCAGTCCCCTGGTTCTAACTCAGCCTTTCTCCCCTCCTCCTCTGCTCCCACCCTCCTCCACACCACCACGGTCTTGGCTCAGTTCCTGGAGCAAGTCCTAAGCAGTCCCCTTGCTTCCTCTTGGTGCACCATGATGGTTACTGGTCCAAACTGCACTGCTGGTGTGACTCCCAGACCAGCCCCTTTCCAGCTACGTGACTTGAGGAAGAGCCATGCTCTGATCCGTCCACCCTGTCTGTCCAACACACCAGGCTCCCTGTGGCTCAGACCTTTTCACCGCCTACTTCCCCCATTTGAAGGCTCCACTTCAGCTTTTCTCAGCGCTGCTTCTTTGATGTGTGGTTGGCTTACATGTAACTTTCAAAATGAGTTCTTTCCTGATCCCTTCATTAGAACAGGCAGGCAGCTAGATGTGAGCAGAGCAAGGGGGACATGGGCAAAATGGCAGGAAACCATACGTCATGTGAACAACAAGTGTCCTTGGGCAGAGAGAAAAAAGCAGGAACCTCCAGACTGGTAACAGACCACACATTTTGGGATGACACGTGTCCTGGAGGCAGGCAAAGGAAGGTGGGGAAAGGCAGGAATCTCCAGTGTTCAAATGTAACCTTTTGCTCAAGATGCCCTCATTACAATACAATTAGCCTTGCAGATTAGAAGCCCCCATCATGTACCAACGCCATGACACTTCTGATCCAGACTAAATAAGGACAAAAATCCTTCCTCCCCCGAGGAAGGTGGAGCTGGGATGGGAATCAGGGAATAAGAACCCAAATCCTTCCCTCTCCAATGAATATTCTGCCCGTTCATTTTGACACCCTATGTAACCAACTTGCTGAAGAAACTCAGGGCAGCTGCTCACCTGAGCCTGCCCGCTCTCCCCCTTGAGAGCATCCTATCCATCCCTTAATAAATCTCCACTTTACTTTCTTGACCTCTGTGTCTTGTCTCTGAATTCTTTCTGCAACATGACAAGAGCCTAATCACTGGCTACACCTCTGTTAAAAATTGTCAAATTGCAACGTACCCTTCCCGGTCTGTGCCAACAAACCCCTCCGCCCTCAACCTGCTGCACATTTGACTTGCCGCGGTCCAGGGTCTGGTTCCCCACCCCAGAAATCACCCTACACCAGGGGAGGCAGCTTTCAGCTCCAGTCCCTGCTCTGATCACAGCGTGCCTGGCACAGGGTAGGAGCTGAGTACACCTGTGTTCCGTGCTGTCAGAGGCTCTTTTTGTTTTCTTTTTCGTAACTCTTCCGTTTTGTGTCTTTACTTGGACATCTCTCTGGGTCACCCTGGGGAAGGAAATGATTCGCGTCCTCAGCAGACACTTTTCTAGGCCATCATCATGCATGTAAATTGACCAGAAGAGTTAATCAGTAGATTTCTGCCCTTTCCCTCCCATATTGAGAGGCACCTTCTCGTCTCTAGAGTAAGAAAACTTTCTTGTACATCATCATATATATATATATACACGAAATCAAAGCTGAGCATTAACTGTCTCTTTGCATTTGGATGATACTTGCTGATAACTACTTTCTCTCTGGCAGTGGGTAACCAAGGTTCACTCTGAAAAGGTAAGAGCAATTGCAGGGAAATCAGAACACATCAGCTATCGTATCAGGTGAGCAGGAAAACAAAATACCTCTGAGACAGTTATATGTTCCAAAGGGCTTTATAAATCTGCACCACTAAAGCCTCATGGGCCACGTGTTCACTGTGCTGATTGAAATATTTTTCTTTTATTACAACCACCACCTGCAGAAGATCAGACCATGGGCTCTCAGCTTTTCCTCTTGGCAGCAAGTATCTTTCTTTACAAACTTGACCTCAGCCGTAACCAAATCTGCCAACAGTCAATTATCAACAAAACAGCTTCAGTCATTGAAATCTTACTCATCTTCGGAACACGCCACTTGGGGTCATTTCCACCTTTCTACGAATCTTGGAATTTTTCAGTGTATGTGGAATTCTGCTCATTGGATTAACCCAAAATAATATACATGACAATCTTCAACATGCCCTAGACGTCTGTGATAATTAAGCACCTAATTGATAAAAGGGAAATGTGTTGTTGGGAAGCCAGCATCTTCCGTTAGCTTTCTTTGCCCCTGGCGTTCACTCGCGCTGTGGCAATGAAAGAGATGAAAGCAGAAACTGAACAACTTGAAGACCTGCTATAGACCACTGGAGTCCAGTGAACCTAGAAAGATCCCCTTGGTTGCTTCCTCACATCTTTTATGATCACACGTCTTTCAGTAAAAGCAACCTGAGGCATTAAGCCTGTCATCACACTGCAATATTTCAGTCCATATTAATAGTAAAATGCTTACCCCCCAAAGACCCAAACTGCCACACTCACAGCCACTGCAATGCCCTGCAAGTTCCTGAACTTTCTGTACCAACCTCAGGGGTAGTTTTTGGACTAGAAGATTTGTTTGACTGAATTCAGATCAAATCATAGGATTAATTACCGCCAGAATGCCCAGATTTTGTTTCACGTATGAAATCGCAGTAGGTATAAAAACCATGTGAGGATGATAAACTACTTGCAAAGCCTCCTTACGGAAAACGCAACCCTGTCAGGGTGACATGAAGCCGTAACAGAGACATCAAATTACAACTCAGTTATAGTCATCTGAACACCATCTACAGTTGACTTTTTTCTGATCGTTGCCTCAGAATTTTCAGAGTCAAATTCTGTGGTTGTTGAAGTACCTGGTAGGTCTACACTGCTCCAGCAGGACACAAAGTTTTCGAAAGGAAGTCTGTCGGTGGAACGTTATGTGAGCCTGGGGGAGAAGTTATGGGTACAGAGACACAGATTGAGGTACACAAGAGGTACGAAGAACTTGCGTCAGTTCCATCAGGGCAGCTGTCACTCACTACAGTGGACATTTTGGTCCTTTGCACTCCTCTGCTTGTGAATTAAAAAGTTTCGAAGAATTAAAGGCGTCATAAACCATGTCATACACAAGTCCTTTAACATAATAATTATAACTGGGTTTCTAAGGAAAATGAAATATTACTTATACCGTGGGCACATGAACATACTATCACATGATGTGTGCACACTTTAGAAACATTCATTATCTCCTGGGTAAACTCATGTGATTAAAGAGTCAAAGGAACACAGACAGATGTCAGAAATTTATAAGTGAATATTCTCCTAAGTCTTTGGCATTTATTGACACGAACCAAGAAATCTTTTTTTGGTTGTTTGTGACTAATAAGCGATGATGTATTGTAATTCTGCACAAAGAAGGAACATTTCCCGCAAATAGTGACAAAACGTTTCGCGCCCACTTCTTATCTATTTAGGACATTACTTTTAATGCTTCCGAGCAGTCTGATTACAATTACAGTCACAACACACATCTAAATAAAGCTGCCACTAGGCAAACTCTACTCTCCCCATCTGGGCCTCCCAGACAGCAAGGATTTGCAGGAAAGGAACTGACAGAGAAGAGCTCAGGCGCGTACCTGTCATGTTGCAATACACGAGGGCCGGTCCCAGCGGGCCACTTCCGTCCAAGTCAATGTAGTAGAGCCCCGAAGAGTCTCCTCTGTGCCGGTGGGCTTCACACGACTGCTCGTACAGCGCTGTAAGGAACACGGGTCTCAGACAGTGGCTACGAGGGGACGCGTCCCTCCGTGCTGGTGAGAGGTACTTGCCCACTGACACTCATTCTGCCTGGCTCTCGGGGACCTTTTCTCGAGAGGAGGGCCCCCTGCTCCAGTCGGGTGACATGAAGGTTCTGAAGCACAGAGTGAGAGATCTTAGGAGGGATCGCTGCGGGACGTGTGGATCTGAACCTCTTTTCAAACCCGTGCTAACTGGATTTCCTCAAGCCTCGTTCTTTCTTGCTTCATAATATCTAAGCATCTGAAGTGCATTGGCTTAATCTCCCTGAATGATCTGTTATTATCTCATAGTCAAGTTATTTTTTTTAATTACTCAGTAATTATACTCTTTGTTTACTTAAAACAATTTACATGTGAAATACATTTTTTTTCCAATGAGATGAATTTCACAAATCAGCAACTCCTCTTCATTCAGCTTTTAAAGTTTGTTTTTAAAGGCAATGTCTTTGGGGGTTACAGCTCCGTGGTAGAGCGCATGTTTAGCATGCATGAGGTCCTGGATTCAACTCCTAGCACCTCCATTAAATAACAAATAAATAAATAGACCTAATACCTCCCCCCTCAAAAAAAAAAAAGCCATAAAAAAGCAACGTCCTTAAATGCTTTGCAAATGATTTTTTCAAGGAAACTGAAATTTCAAAGTATATATAAATCTATAAAACATATATATGAAATGTCCGTTCATAGTTTCAGTTTATCCTAATACATAATTGAATTTTTCACATGTACTATAAATGTTTTGCTATGTATAAGGCAAGTGATTAACATCTGCAGATGACGGGCTGAATTAAAATTCAGAATACATGTAAATGCATGATCACTCGGTGAGTGATCAACCGAGTAACATCTCCCAGGTGCATCACTCGTTGCCTTGGCAGGAAAAACCCTTTGAAAACCTCAAAAGCCGCTAATGGCCACTGGGACAGACGTACAACACTGATTCTGGGACAATGTTGGATCTGATCTCTAAGGATCAGACTTGGCTTCCACGCGGACGGCCTCAGGTAGGGGTCAGGTCGTGATCCTAGTCGGGTACAGCTCTCTGCCATTCTACAATGACTGGATCACCTACATTTCTAACTTTCAAATAATTCAGAAAAATTCAGAGAAGATTCAAGGGATTGTTTTTCTCTCGTCTGCCAGCACAAGAAGATTAAGGGGATGTTTTTGTGTCCAGAGATTTTGCAAAGGAAAATGTCCAAGTGTCCAATGTGTCAAATTAGGTTGCCCCCAATCAGTGGCACGGCCACTCCGATCTACACTAATGGACACACGGACAATACGGATTATTTTTCCACCATGCCTGCATTTTGGTCACTCATGTTTACATTTCTATAGATACAGAAACATGCTCATAACTGCCTAGGAAAGTGTCCAGAGGGACACACATAAGTGGATAACAGTGGTTGTGTCTGGGTTGGGGCTGAAGTTGCCTGGGAAACAAGGTTAGAGGAAGAATGACCAGGAGAAAGCTTGCTTTAAAATGCGACTGTACGTAGGTATTAATTTTGTCCTTAGACCCAAAAGCAATGGCTTTGTGATCACTTACTGCTGATTTGGCAATATGTCACCTTCAATGGCTTAACAGTTAGAGAACCCCAGTAAAGTCAATTCAATTATGACACCAAATCATGGACCACAAGCAAAAGACCCTGAGTACATAGGACAGATATATACATCTGTTAGTTTTTAAATCAGAGTTGTTTGGAATGATGTTTAGATCCCAGTTACTGAAAACACTCGCGCATCATTCCTTAATCATTAACATTCAGTGGGTCTCAGCTTCATACAAGACACCTTGCAAAGTATGATGGAGGATACGCTAAAGAAGAGATCAACGCACTCCTGGCTGTGACTTGGTGAAGTCACACAGCTTCGGGGTTCACGGGTGCCCAGCTCCCTTCAAATGAAAACCTGCACTGGCAAACTCTTACCTGGCACTGTGACAGCAAGTAGAGACGGAGGTGGGCCTACTCTGGGTGACCTTGGGGGTGTTCAGGGCACGAGTCACCCCCCTCTGTCTTCCAAGAGGCTTTGGGGTCCTCTGTGGAACCCGCAGGGCTGGGAACCCAGGGCTGTCATCCCCGCACCAATGCCTGCTTCCCAATTCAGTTCCCACAAGGACGAATTTATGTCACTCCGTGGTCTGCCTTCCTCCCATACTTTGTGTAGAAATAAAATTAAGCAATTCACAGGGAAGAGTTCTTAAAAGTGCAGTGTATCCTCCCCGTAGGAGGGCTGAACGCAGTGAGGACAGTGAATTTTCGTACCATGCGCGCTCTCTGAAGCCTCAGGAAGAGGGGTTCTACGAGAACCCCTTCACAAGGACCAGCAGTGACACAGAAATAAGGGAAAACTGAAAGAAAAACATAAACATGGGCCAATAATTAGAAAGCCAAGGGGATTTCAGGGGCTCTAGTCATTAGCTTCTAGGAGCTAAAGGATTAACAGCCTATAAAGTTTTGTTAGCTTTGCTGACGCTGAAGGACTGGAGACCGGTGTTCCAGACCGAAGAAACACTGCTGAGAGGTAGCCGAGAGCCCTGCTTTGTTGCTGTGTGACCTCAGGTAAACAGCTTAGCCTCTCTCATTCCTCAAGTGTAAACTGTGAATAATAATACATTTACCACGTCGAGCTGTTTTGAGGATTAAAGGAGCTGAAATATGCAGAGAACGAGAAGAGAGCCAGGCACATGGTGAGTTCCCAGTATCTTCACCACCGCCATCATCACAAAACACCAAGATTGCAAGGAATCTGAGCATTTAACCAGCTTCTCACTGACGTCTAGAAACCCGACCATGTTAGCTCCCATCCTGAGCCTCTGAGAATTTCCTTATTTCATTTTATAAATACTGAGAATCTGGTAACTCATCCTGTTTGCTTTGGCAGACAGGACTTGAGCACTAAAATTGGGTCTAACTCAAGGGACAGAACAAGACATAATACCATGCATTCTAGATTTTATTTTTATTTTTGACTACATTTTATTTTCCTATAACTGATTTTCCTTTGCCTACTATTTTTTCTGTATTATTTGGTATTACGCACTTCTATAAGCTATCTTATCATCACTAGGAAATAAAACTGATTAAATAAACCAAAGACTAGTGGCTAAAATACTTATTCTTTGATGCTGTCTTCTGGCTCATGGTCGCACAGACACACATATACCCAAAATGATGGAAAGGAAAATAGAACCCCATGGAAATCAGAACAAAAAGAAGAACAAGTGAAGTGCGAAGCTTACAGGAGTGGCAGGTTGCTCCCGTGTAACCAGTGTGTGCGCAGTCGCAGGAGAAGGTGTCCCAGGACTGGGAACATTCGCCCCCGTGTTCACAATAGCTGGGCAGGCACCTAGAAGAAGACAGGCGTAGCACTGCTTCCACATTTGGTCATGAGAAATGCGTACCTTAATATGAATATTCTGTCGTGAAAGACAGATGACAACAGTGACCCGACCAGAAAAATTTCAACATGAACAAAACTTGGTGGGTCCTTCATCGAGATTTCCAAATGGAGTATCAACTGTAGACTAAGAAATCTGCTAGATGCTACCAATTGTCATGTATTTGTGACAGGTAAATTTTGTACACATCTCATTACATCAGAAAGCGTGTTTGCTTTTTTCACAAATAAGGCAAGGTTAATTTCATACATGACCAGGGATACAGATTGCCTGCAAGGGCCACAGGCAGCACATCTCCCATCCCGGCTTTCATAACCTTGCTCTGTGACCTACAGATTCTTCCGTCAAGAGGTACTGCTTATTTTTCCAGCGTGGACTTGGGTTGGAAACGCGACCTGCTCGGATCAATGGGACATTAGCAAACTGATACAGCAGAGGCTAGAACAGTGCGTGGGCAGTGGGCTTGCTGCTGATTTTTGAATCCTGAAAGCACCACGACATGAAGAAACCTGGGCTGTTCATGCAGCAGCATCACCCCTATAGGTTTAAACCACAGCACAAGTGAGTGAGGTGACTGTAAATTGTCCGGCTGCCAGCTGACCCCCAGGCAACCACGGACGACAAGAGAACCCAGCAGTGAACACAGAATTGCGAGATAAACAGTTGTCGTTTTCAGCCTGTAAGTTTTAAGGATAATTTATTGAGCAGCCAAAGCTAACTGATGTACGCACACCATATTATAGTATCTTGCCATTGATTTAGAACATTAGGAAAATATTTAAAGAGAAGGAAGACAGGTAGGAAAAACAAGAAAATTTTTATCCGTGTAGCATCATGGTGTCAGGGGTTCTGAAAATCATCTTTAGGTCAGACCGACGATGCCTTTAGAAATTAGATCTAGAGATCACCTGAGGACTGAAGCCTTAAATAATATTTTTTTTCCCCATATAATTGAGTAAACCATAAAACCACTCAGGTAAACCAAATAACCACTTATGTACCATGGAGATTGTTATGTCTCACTTATTAAAATTAAAGGTGAGGCTTTGTTGAGAAGATTAAAACTTTTAATTGAAAGAATATTATTTAATTTTTGATTATCAAAAAATAAATGCTATCCTCAACAAAACATTAGCAAATTTAATCCAAAAATGTATAAAAATATATGTATAAAACACAACTAAGTGTAATTTATTCCAGGTATGCAAGGCTGTTCCAAAATTTGAAAAATTAATTTGAAAATGAATGTAATCCATCACGTAAACAGGCTAAAGAAGAAAAACCATATGGTCACATCAGTAGATGCAGGAAAAGTATTTGACAAAATCTCATACCAATTCATGATTGAAAAAAAAAAAAGAAACTCCTTGGTAAACTAGTTATAGAGAGGAACTTCTTAGAATTGACTAAAAAACAAAAAACAAAAAAACTTAAAACCCTATGGCAACATTATATACTTCATGGTGAGAAACCAGGTACTTTCCCCTAAGTATGGGAACAAAGCAAGGGTTTGCTCTTACCACTCTCATTCACACATCATACTGGAAGTCTTAGCTAATGCGATAAGACAAGAAAAGAAATAAAAGACATATCGATTGGGAAGAAAGAAATAAAACCATATTTCATTCACAGACGACACAATTATCTATGTAGAAATTCCCAAATAATCAAAAAAAAAATCTGGAACTAATAATAAGTGATGATAGTAAGGCTGCAGGGTATTTTTTTAAACAATGAACAACTGAGATTTAAAGTGAAAAACATAACACTTACATTAGCATGCCCCCAAAATAGAATATTTAGGTTCGTGGATAAATACTATCAAAAAAAAAACAAAAAAACAAAAAACCACACAAGGTATGTGGTGCACAGTTTTGCATTTAGCGTTTAGAAGATTAATGTTGGACCAAAGGCAATGAAAATGGGAAACATGACCCCATCAGCCCAGCCCTTGCCTTGGGATGCTCCAGACGGCATTGACATAAGCCTAAACGGAATTTGAAAATGGCTCTGTAACCTGAATTTTATGACAGGAAATCCTAATGTCCAAAATCCAAGCGGCTGTAAGACACAATCCCTCCTCCCTGCAATCCCCTCCCCACAGCCCTGTCCCCAAGGACTGGGCCACCTTCCCTCTGAAGTGTCATCAGAGCCACGGGAAGACAGAGAGCCCTGCGGGTGGGCCCTTGTGTGACTCAGGAAGGCTTCCCAGGTTCCCGTCAGATTTCAAACATTTTTTTCAGACCCTGCAGCGCCAGGAACGCTGCTGCGCGTTGTGAATTATTAATTCCGGGGCCTGATGCCTGTAAGTTACAAGACTAGCTGCATTTTTCATCGTAAACTTCAGCTGCACCTGAGCCCCCTTGGACCTGCTCTGGGCAGGCAGAGCGGCGGGCTGGGGGGACGGCTGGGCACAGTGCAGAGCGCCCCCAGGCCGGGGGGTCCACTTTGCTGTGTTTTTAAGTGAATCTATTTCGTGGTGCATTGGAGAGGCAGTTGGCAGGTGTGGACTATGGGCTGAGGAAAAATGAACATTTTTTAGTTTTAATAGTAGCGGAGCATAAGGACATGTCTTCAGAGGCTGAATCATAAAAAAATTACAATTATTGACCAGACAGGCCATCCAAAGCGCTAACAGTTATTTTCATGTCCACTTACACAGTTGCCACAGGCCTCCGTGTTGCAGAAGATCACTTACTATCCTGGATGACTGGTACACAGATCTGAAAATCTTTTTAAAATGTGACATGAAAAATTTTTCTATTTTTCTATTTCAGTTTTATTTCTATTTCTATTTTAGTTCTATTTCTATTTCTACACACACACACACACACACACACACATATAGCCCCTTTTTCTCCCTTTGGCTAAAAGACCTTTATGCACAAAGAGGCAACCTTTATGTTAAGAGAAATATTTTGATTACAGCATATATTGTGAAGGAATCCCTCAGGCACTAAAGTAACTTTCTGTGAGCTTCGTGACTGAAGTGACAACTGGGCCCCTGGCGGTAAATTGTGACCTCCCACCCTCCCGACCCACGAAAGGCCATTCCCATGGGTGAGGGGCTACACTCTACCTCCAAGAGAACATCTCTGACCCTCCCCCAACACCAAGATTCAGGATTCCAGAGCCGGCTGCCATGATCACTAAAGATGATGTTACAGTTTCTATGCCAAAAAAATTTTTTTATAACCCGAAAATTAAGATTGAGAGTTTCGTTGAAATTCTTTGAATCATTTTTTTTCCTTCTACAAATGAACAGAAATGTGAACATGTGACCAAGGACATTTGCATTAAATAAAATTCTTGTGAGTCAGTATTTGGCATACTGGGAATTTATAATCTTCTAATACATTGCTAAATCGCATTGTAACTTGCTAATTGGACATGACACAGAATTTCAATTAACGTTACATTCGGAATAAATTTATTCCACAAAGGACTCTGCACAGTGTGGACTTTGGGAAGGTGCACTAGGTAGGGATGTGTGGGGATGTCTGGACTGTGCACGTTTATGCAACACAAACATAATGCATTTCTGCTACAGAGAAGGCAGATACACCAGGCACAGAAAAAACTTCAGTGTGTGATGGTTACGCCAACCCTTTCAGCCAAAATAACCTAAAAGTCAGAGAGCATGACTAACAAGACGGCTTACGCAAAGTTGCAACGCTTAGAAATTTTCATACGTTACTGTTGCAAAGTTTTGCCTTCCTTATCTTCTTCAGTGAGCCGGTACTATGCTCAGGGTGTGGTAACTGGATCCTCTCCATTCTTTACTGTGTTCACAGTATCACTAGAGATCCCCAAAGTCTCATCCTTTCTCAAAGGAAGAGTTACTTTGCATTCTTCCTGCAGAACAGGGAGTGTGGGGTGAAGGCAACTGACCACAAAAGAGTTTGATTTCTGCGTCATCCATGACCTCTTTAGAATATTCTAACCTGTTTCGAGCAATGTTCGAACTTTCAAACGATTTATACTCATCGATAATTATAGCAGCATCGAGAGAATTCTGTGCGAATTAAGTAGCTTAGAGGCACACACAAGGAAGATTCATGAGAGTGTGTCTTGTAAGAAAATATCTGAAAGAAGCAATTGTTTAAAATTAGTTTGTCAATTTTCTTTTCGGTGTAAATATAATTTTTCCCCATGCAATGGATATTGGGAATAGAGAAGGGCAAGAAGGTGCTCTTTTCCAGCTGTTTATTGGTTTTTAATCTACTACGAAAAAATTGAAAACGGACATGCTGACCCGAGATTGCCTTACCTGTCTGTGAGGCCACAGGTGTCTATCTGGAGGTCACGGAAGCTCCCCAGCGCCCCCTGCTGTACTGAGATGGGATCCACCGCTTTGTCACCAATGGAGATGAGCCTCAGGCAGCCCTGAAATCCACCGGGACTTGCGCATCCAGAGCCAGAGCTGTTATCGGGACAGCCTGAATTAAACACGGAGACACACACAGCAGCAAACAAACAGTTACGACAAAAAACATTGCACAGCTCTCCTCATATGCAAAAATTGTTGCCTCCCCTTGTTTGCAGACACCTGAGGATTCAGACGTTCATTTGGGAAGCTCACACCACCCATGGATGGGGGTGGAAGAGAACAAAATTTGTCGGTATTGGTAAAGATTAAAAATAATAACCTAAGCCAGGCTTATGGAGAGATGAGAGGAAGGGAAGACGTGAAATCTGACAAACAGAGTTATAGCACATTTAACTTAAGCCGAGCTTGCGTTCCTTTTTGAAAGCACACACAAGAAATCACTCCTTTTAGCATGATGTTAACACACATTGTAAAATGCTTGAAAAATAAATTGTGCATTGACCTGGACACCCTCCATCCATCAAGAAACTGTTAAATACCCACTCTGCGTGTGTGTGTGCAGGCAAAGTATATCTGAAAACACTTTTGATAATAACTGGTCTCAAAAATCTAATAACAATTTATATTTACTTTTTTAATTTTGACACTTCAAATATCTTTCAACAGTAACACACATATATTATCAAGTATTTTAAATGATATGGCATTGCAAATAATGCAGAAAAATTAGCAATAAAGAATATTCTAAAAAAAAAAAGAAATGAGCTTTGATTATTTTCCATAGTAAGAGTTAAACTTTACAAGTTCTGCTACAGTCATTAATTGGTTTTGCTGTAAATGACAAACCACAGTTCCTACAGACTGGCTTTGTTTTATCCTCCTGGGCTTCCCAAGATGACAGTGCTCTTATGATGATCATGAGCAAGGACGTGATTTTGACATCAAAATCAAAGCAAGGTGGGGTCCAGAACCACCTTCTTCTCCATGTGTGGGGACATCAGGGTTCTGAGCACCCTCGCACCCTCTCCTGAGTTGTCCCCTGAAGGAATCAGAGGTTTAGATTTCTTGCATTCTTAGGTTCTCGCGTTACTGCAAGATGAGCAGCGTAGACTGGGAAGGTGACAGTGAAGGAAAGCAGTCACTGGGAAATGTTTCCGAAAGAGGCAACAATTTGGGGAAACCCCATCCCTCACCCCCATTCAGGACTGAGACTTCCCCCACCTGCTGGGCTACAAGGAGTTGGCTCTCAAAAGACTGTGCCTCTCCCCAGGGATAACAGTGCCCAAGGATGCGATGCAGTGACCGAGACCCATTATCTTAATGGGAAGCTCCCTGAAGGGCATCCCTGCTTCAGACCCTCCCTTGGGGTCTTCAGAGGCTCCTGATGCATTGCAGTTCAACCCGTCTCTCTGCCCATCCCAGATGGTCCTTCAGCCCTCCAGGTGTTGCTCCCAATTACCCCCACTAAACCAGCCACGCGCAAAATCTCCCACGCAGAGGCAGCTTCTAGGGCAATTGATCTGCAGCCACGTAGGATAAAAGCTCCAAGTGTTTACTGAGTTGAACACTTTATTTTCATGTGCAAATATGAAAGAAGCACAGCATTTTTAATAATTAACATTGTTTTCATTCCAAAACATTGTCCAGTAAATTTCACGCTGCGTGTGAAATCTACCTATGCAATGAATGTACACTTTGCCTGATCAAATTATGTTTCACTCATATCATTTCCAGAACTGTTTTCTTTGAACTTTTTAGATATAATGCCATAATTATTCATCTTTCTGCACTGTATTTTCCAGCGTTTTAAATATTAAGGAATTTTTATGTTAATATTTACAGCCTGGGGTTTTGAGGTTCTTTTATAAGACTTACTTTTTAAATCAAATGGAATAAATAATTTGACGAAGATTTTGCTCATTGGACTTTAAGGTGTTTTTCATTCATCTCTCTTTGTACTTTGGTCTTGAAATCGTGGGTGCACTTTCAAAGAGCAAGAACTGAATACAGAGACTCCTCCTGTTCCTGCATAATGGATGCTAGCTTTCTACCTAAGAATTTTCATGAACTACGCAGAGTTTATCTTCACTTTGCTTTCAGTGGCTGAGACTTAAATGCTTTGTATTTCTGACAAATAGAATTCAGAGCAAGCCAAGGCCCGCATCCGGTTGAAACCTCACAAATTAACCTCGGAGAGACGCTGACATTTCAAATTTAATGTTGTATCATAAAGAACTGTTTAAGCCTACAGCTTTCCTTTATCATTAGCTTGTCTGATGGGAAAATGCACACGTTTTAATTTTAAGAGAATTTCTGAAAGGTTGGATATATTTGGAGGAAACCTGGCATATCTTTCTATCTTACAGGTGACTTCCACTTGCTGTACTTGGTAACTAAGAACGTTAGAATAAACAAGAGGAAACATTAAATCCCTAAGTAGTTTTGTGGAATTGCTGCTGTTTCTTTTCTGTTTTCTTCCTTTTCTCCGGATCACGAGCCACAAACTCATCCAAAATATACAGTGCAGTGTCCAACTATGTCTGTTAGGACAAAATTAAACCATATAAGCTTTTGCACAGCAAAGGAAACCATAAGCAAAACGAAAAGACAACCTACAGACTGGGAGAAAATATTTGCAAATGATGCAACTGACAAGGGCTTAATTTCCAGAACAGATAAACAGCTCACACAACTTAATAACAAAAGAACAAGCAACCCAGTCCAAAAATGGGCAGAAGAGCTAAACAAGCAATTCTCCAGTGAAGACATACAGATGGCCAATGGGCACATGAAAAATATTCAATATTGCTAATTATGAGAGAAACACAAATCAAAACTACAACGAGGTATCACCTCACACCAGTCTGAAAGGCCACCACGAAAAAAGTCCACAAATGGTAAATGATGGAGAGGGTGTGGAGAAAATGAAAGTGAACGTTTAAAGACGAGAAGGTCAAAGCACTGAGTGTTCACTTGTCCAGTTATGACATGAAGGTCAGGACACAAGGGAACCACAGTCCAAGACAAGCTCAGGGCTGGAGACGCTCAATCGTCCATGCAGACGGTTGCCCCAAAGCCTTGGTGGTAAAAGTGGCAGAGGGCCATCCAACAATGGCCTGATTCGGGATGGAGAGTGAAGTGGACAGTGGATACGTATTGCCAAATTAATGAAAGATACCCATCACGACTGAGGGACTCAGAAGTTTAAGTACCTCTGAGGAGGACAGATAAGTTGTCACTTACATCACTGCATCGGAATCGGTCCTCGGGTGAAACTTCATTACAGACTCACCATGAGCTCCCTGGCCTCCTCACATTTCATTCAAGGGGATTCTGAACCGAATTTAATAGTCCCCAACTCTGCAGCACAAGTATGGTATTGGATAGTACCAATTCCATAAAAGGGGGTTTACTAAGAGCTCAACTGTCCACTACCATTAATCGCAGGCACTGTGGACAGCACCCTCCAGTGCAACTGCTGTTGGAAGACCAAATTACAAAAAAAAAGGTCAGACTAAGAAAAGGCAGGAGAGGAAAAGGGGACACCTAGATCGCAGAGTTCTGATAAGATGTTTAAGAAATGCTGCTGTTTGACAGGTAAGAAAGCCGTGCTCCGAGCCCGCCAGAGCCCTGGCTTATGCCTTCTGTCCGGCAGTGGTCACTGAGATCATCTCCTTTATTTGCTGAAGTGTTCTGTTTTGGACGATCAATTACACAGTCAACCTCACTGTAGCAGCAGATCGTACTGGTCTGCTTTTACGGTGAAGCGTTGCAGCAAAATTTGACCGTATAATGATGACTGGGAACATGCAGCGGAATGTCCACCAGGGAAAAACGGCATTTGAAAGCAAACTGGTCAAGGAGCATCTCAGAACATGGGGGTAGCGTGTTTTCCTTGAAAAATCACGTATCATTCGTTGGCTTTCAGCTGGATGACCCAGGAATGCTTACTTTATTTAGTCCAAATATTGCTCCAGAGCATGGATTGGATGAAGTCAGCTTCCATGTTGACATCATACATATTCTGGTACTGATAGACATGAATCAAGAAGACAATTAAACAAACAAAGAGGTTGACACAAGATACTCTTGGGTGTGTGTATAATTACCCAGACATTGGAGTTTTCAGGGTAGAATTTCCACTCAAGATGTAGCTGCCTTGCCCTGCTCTACCCACAACAGAGCTGGAAAGTCCAATGGACTCTGGAGACGACGGGGCCCTGATCAAGGGGGTCTCCTGCACATAAAACTCGTGAATATATGAAATCTACTGAGAACCAGGACTCCACGCCCACTGGTCCAAGATCTGCCTCTCCTGGTTTTCTTTGGGTACAAATAGGACCCACCTTTTTATTTAACATCAGTGCATTAGTGTGTTTCATTTTTTGTTTGTTTGCTTTAGTCTGGCAAAGTCATTACTTGAGTTTTTAAAATAGGATATATTCTTTCTCTAGGGAAAAAAAAGAGGTGCTGATGCTGTTCTGTTGGTGGAGGATGTACAGTTGACTACATTAGTTTGAATCAGTCGCTGAAACTGTTCTGTAAATCAACTGGATATTTATAGCTTCCCATATAGACGTTACTCTAAATTTATACATTAGTTGGGAATAAACTGCTGTGATTGCAAGTTCTATTTTGGTCACTCAGTGGCAACATTCAATTACACGAGGGAAATAGGGAAGCCGTGATGAAGAAAAGTCATTATCGGCTCTCATGGGAGGCTGAAACTGTAACTCCACAAATCGTAGGGACACTGTTTCTTATTGGAAATGATACTAACACGACAGTTCTGCTGCATATCAACACAATTTTATAAAAAGAGATAAGAAAGGCTTGTATCTTTTTCAATGCATTGCCCCCAGATCTCTAGGATCCTTTCATAGACAGGAGTGGAGCCAAAAGCTGGGTCCCACACGTGCAACCAATGTGACAACCGTGGGTCCTTTACATTCATTCAACTTAACCATCGGAGCATGCCACTGAAACCACGGTACTGACTGTTATTCCACTAAATTGACTACCTATTAGGAAAGTCAGGCAGTTTGCGCATAAGGAAAATTTGAAAATCTCTGGCTAGAGGATTCCTAGCAGCTGAACAAGAATATTTATGGCATTTTTATAATAACAAAAAATGGGCACAATCAAAATGTCTATCGACATAAAAGGGGATGGTGAAACAGATGAGTAACACACGGTATGATACTCATCGAAAACCATGCAGCTGTGAAAATTAATTAAATTTAGCTGTTCACATCCACATGGCTGGATCTCAAAAACTAATGCAGAACAAAAAAAATAAAATAAAATAAAATAAAATAAAATAAAATAAAATAAAATAAAAAAGCAAGTCACAGAAGAACGCGTGCAGTATTAACCTATTCATAAAGTTAAAAGCCAAGCAACACAACACAGTTTATTGTTTAAAGATGCCTCCAGAGATGATAGATTATACAGCAAAGCAATACAATGATTAGTTTAAACAAAGCAGGGTAATGCTTAACTGGGGGAATGAGAGTCTGGAGGAGGAAGGAAAGCTTCGAACGTATTATAGTGTTTAATTTCATAGCTGAGGGATGTACCCACATACGCGCCTTTAAGAAACACTGGTTGTCTCTTTAATGCACGAATATGATCTATTTCCATAGTAACAACTGATTCACATCACATTAGCATGTAAATACTTCTGGGGAGCACCTGCTCTCACGCAGCCGTGCGTTCCGCGTTCTGAGCATGGAGAACGTTCAAATAGGAAAGCTGCTTCAGTGATTTGCGAAGTATCGTTCTACTTTTTAACACAAAAGTTTAAATGTATTTTATTTCGTATCATTCAACAATAGAGCACAGTTCTTTCTGTAAGTTTTTTTCTATCTCTTTTAATGCTTCAGAATCATCTTCCTTTCAGCTGTAGCTCTTGGATAAACTCTTTATTTGGTTTTGGAGGAATTTGTTCCTCTCCAGAGCTAGAAAGTGTAAAGGTTTAAAAAAAAAAAAGTGCCTGGGTCAGAAATGCATCACGTTTAGCAAACGAGGAAAGCAAGCAATCTGATCTTTTTAAAGCTGCTGGAGCTTTCCCACCCTTCACAGTGGAGGTTGCTTCAGGGGACTTGAAAGATGGAACAACCCGATGCACGGTTTGTGTGCTTAGTGTCAGATCTTACAGGAAAAAATTTCTACTTTCTTGTTGGGCTATGAAGCTACCTCCACCACAATTTTGAACTTATGTTAGAAAGAAACATCTATAAAATGCAAAGCAGCAAGAAAAGCAGAGATGGCTTCAAGCCAAGATTAGAAATAAGTCTCACTATTGACAGCGCGAAGCTTCCAGTGGCTCAGGATTTTTCACTCGAGTGCCCCAGGGATGGAGATTTATTACCCTCAGAAGCTCCCCCTGGCTCCTGGTGGATCCTGGATGGGCTCAGTCAAAGGTTTGCTAAGCCGGCAAATGCCCATTTACTACAGTTCCGGGGAGACGGTTTGGGGTTGTCTCGGTAAAATCCATCACTAAGCAATGAGTGAAATATTAATAGCCATTGAATTAACCTCTGCCTCTGTTGTCCATAATGATGCTCTTCTGTACACACAGCGGGAATAGAATGTTTCTTAAATTTTAAAGTGCAGTGGACCCGCTGGAGGTCTTGGTGGAATGCAGAGTCTGGCTCAGGAGGTCAGGGACGGTGCGTGTGCAGTTGTAAGAGGCTTCCAGGTGATGCTAACGCTGCAGGTTCATGGACCGCATTGTGAGTGGCCAGGCTCCGAGCAAAAGAGGAACCAACAGACAATGGAAGAACAGCCCCATGCAGCAAAAAACCTGGCACGTAAAATCTGAAGGAGAGGTCCTAAGGGTCTTTTGGAATTAGGAAAATTCTCTATAGCAAAGTATTAAAGGTAAGAAATAGAGAATAACGACCTCCAAAGTTGTTGGCACAAAGGGAAACCCAGAGAGCATTCAAGAAACCTGTTGTCCAGGCCTGGGGACCAATTAAATCAGGGTTTCTGGGGATGCAGCCAGACATCAGCGTTTTGAAACTTTCCAGGTGACTGCAAGGAACAGCTACAGTTGAAAACGAGTGTCGAATTTAAAACCCATCTTAGCACGTGCCCTTTTAAACAAGGCCACCTCGTAGACGTGCATTTTAGACCAGGATTTGTCATTTGTCCAGTCAGCATTCCTCATGACTATAACTGAAAGAGAAATATCATTCTTCAGTATTGATTTTCATTTAAAAATTTGGTATAGAAGGCAGGAGCCGGAAAGACAAAGATGGCTGGATTGCCAGTACAGCCCAGTTCCTTTCACTTACCCCCCAAGTAATAGGTGTCGCCTGAGTCAATCTGCCCCCGCAGGGCATGAGCCACGGAGGCTGCCTCACCGTCCACCGTCACACTCAGCTGAGTGCCTTTTGCAGATAAGGACACAGAATGCCACTGCCCATCATTTAAGCCAGCACCTGGAGGTAAACAAGATGGGTTAAAAGGGATTCCTGCAAACCCTGCAGATGCCTCCAAACGGAGCAGCTAGCTGAGAACAGTATGATGCATACCTGGGACCCCCTGGCGCAGACCACCAAGAACTTACCTGAAGCCCACCCGGGTCATTTCGCCGGCTGGGCAACGGGTAATGCGCCACAGAGGAGGCAGAGAGATAGAGAGAGGTGTGGGAGAGACGTGAGCTTGGCTGGGGGGTTCTAAACAGCCAAGTAAGTGATGTGATTTGCTGGCCATGTTTATCTAGAGGAAGGTGCTGCCCACGTCAGGAGGAAGAGGGGCTTGCTGAGTAAACGGCATGGCTGCAGAGGGTCCCTACATCTGATCCACCACAGCCATGGACTGGTCTGTCTGGTCCTTGTTTATGTTCTAACAAAAGCTATTACATTCACTCGGGATTATGGCCTATCTGCACACTGCCAGGGCTGTATTTCACTTTCTCATCACTCGATTTAGTCGGAAAAATACAGAAAGAAAAGAAGAACAAAGAGAGAAGTCAGAATGAAAGGGGTAAAGAGGAAACAAGAGTGGGTCACGCAAACACTCTGCCTTGGAAAGTACAGCATTGGTTTCTTCCAGTCCTGGGGTCTTAATAGACCTAAATGTCCACGAATGACCCTGAACAACCATGAAATGACAAAATATTTCCAATTACATGGCATCAGCATTGTTCAGTCTCATCCGGTTCATTAATAGTTTGAGAGGTTAGGAAGGACAGGTATTTTCCAAAAATGGAAGTGATTTAAAATAAGAACTTTCCCTTACTTTTGTGTATTGTTCTTATCAACAATCATCTTGGTAGAAAGAAATAGGAAATAAAAAATTAGGAAAAAAATACATTGTTGGTTTTTACAAGTAACAATTAAAGGATTAATAAAACATGAAAGTTCATAGAAAATATAGTTAAAAAAGCAATGTAAATTGCTGTACACCAAAAATTGACACCTTGTAACTGACTATACTTCAATTTAAAGGAAAAAAAAATTACATTAAAGTGTGTGTGTATGTGTGTAAACATGCAAAAGAGTGGCAGGAACTATTCTTAAATATTAACCTTAATTTTTAAATGAAGGAGTTATGTTTTTTATTGTATGTCATTTTAGCCTTCTCTGTTTTTTTCCCCCAAATTTGATACAGTATATACCAGCTATTGTTACATTATTATTTTTAAGAACTATTATCGGTTCCTTCAAAAGCAGCCACTGTCTTTTGAATCCATGTGATGAGAAGCCCCCATTTTCTTCAAGTGATAGAGTTGAGGATGGTCAACTGGTTGAGCTGCTGACCAGCTCCCAGCTGCGCCCGGCTCCAGCTTCGCCTACCAACTTGCCTACTAGGTCTTAGGTTGAGTGAAAACCCATCGCTGTGTCATGCAGATAAACCAGCAGTGGGTGTCCCAGGCCATTCATCCAGACCATGTGTGTTATTAGCTTCCACTAGGTTATTTGTGGACACAAACAACTGCCAGGCTGCAATGAGCAACAAGGAGCCTTTGCTTCTCGCTCTGGCCCTGGACCAGCTGGGTCCCCGTTCTCCGTGTTCCAAGCGGTATTCACGCAGCGCCAAGGCTAATGCGTGGCCCCGAGCCTGACTCACGGCTGAGAGAGAGCAGCCCTTGGCATCTGAAGCTTCTACTCAGATGTGGAGCAGGCCCCCCTCTGCCCATGTTCCATCGGCCAAAAGCCAGTCATTGGCCAAAGTCATCTGGCCAAGAGCAAGGGACTCTTCCCCTCCAGGAGAGGCCACACAACTCCAACAGTCCCCTGAGATACATGTTTCAATTAAGGGGTGGGCCAGGGAATAACTGGAATCTTTATAAACTGTCTTGGGCAACGGGGAAGGGGGTCATAAAGAAATACTTTCACTCATTGGAAAACAAGTGAGATGACTGCTGAATCTTTCATTGAAGTCACGCCCAAGCGTGCTAGTGATTTTAATCTCATTATCTTCCGGAATGTCCTGATACATTTAACTAATAGATTTTACAAATGAGAAAGGTACAGACTGTTTACAGCTCTATACGGTTAGAAGTCAACCTATGGGAAGTCGAAGTTACATTATAGTCCTGGGGGGGATATTAGCCCCCACCCCAAATATGGTCATATTTCTGGTAGAAAGTTAACCAGTCATAGCCAACTTAACATTATATTTTAGTATTTATTGCCCAGATGACCACATACACAAATCCATGTCTCTCAAATGCTCTTCAATCCAGCTTCTTCTGCTGGGAAACAGGATGACCTTTCATCAGAAGTGGTTGAAACCACACGAAAGAAAAACAAGGGGTGAGAATTATGGATGTAGAAAATGCTTTCTTCTTTCTCTCTCACGAATGACTCTGATGTGGGCTCCGGGTCCACCTGAGCAGGAAATATGTTTCAAACAGGACCCAGAGGATCAAAGATCCTGTTGTAAAAAATAGTTATAACTTCACTTCTCCTCAGACTCTTAAATATTAGTGGTGAAACTTCCCAACGCTCACTTTCCGGGAGGCATAGTTGTAAAGTCACTGAGTTACTACAGCTCTTTGCCACGTGCACGTGTGCAGACACGAAAAAGGCTCAACTCCCGTATTTTGTTTTCCTTTTGTGAAGCCAGAGACATTTTCAAAGACTCAGCACTGGTTTGTGAAAGATAATGTGGAATGTTGAAAAGCAGACGACGGAGGATTTAGGTTAGACACTTCAAACAAATATTATGAAATTGAACCTGAAATAGAGTTTTGAAAGAAGTTCGTAATCCTGGAGCTTAAGAGTTAGCAATACCGTCTAGATCTATCCCCACGGTCGCCAATGGAAAGATTCCATTATTTTTTACAGCTGAGTAATATTCCATATATGTATGTCTGTGTATATACCTTCATTATCCATTATCTATCAATGGACACTTAGTGTACAAAAAAAAAATCTCTAAATGTTCCTTCCAGTCTTATCATTCAGTGTTTCTCTTAAAGGTTACATAGTTAATCTGTCAGTATGCTAACCATATCCACTTACAATCTGACTTAAAACCCAATTATTTAGCTTAATTTTGTGAAATGTTTCCTCTCTTTCTCACCCTCTCCATCTACCTAGCAACCTGTCTGCCTATATCTAGTGCATAGAGTTATTTTATTCCATGGGAGAACTTGCAGAAAGTACTCCAGAATCTTCCGCTTGAATCTGTAAGAGATGTCATTCGCTGTATAATACCAGACTGTTCTTAGTAAAATCTGTCATTCTAATTTAAAAATAAAATGTGAGCATTTATACTCATTTTCCACGTCCATCCATTATAATTCTCACCCTTTGTTTTTCCTTCATGTGGTTTCAACTCGTCCCACTCCTGATGAAGGGACAGCCTGTGTCCCAGGCAACACTCCTGCCAAAGGACAGAGGGAGACCAGAGCGGAGTCTGTATTTTGGATTTGCGCTACTCTGAAGATGATGCTAATTACACCGCACCCTTCCAGCTTCTCAAGAGGCTTCAGTCTGGGGGGTCGAGGGGTGCCATGGCTGTGGGACTAGTTTTGAAATATTCCTAAATGCAAGTTATTAAGTTATTACTGATGAGCAGGGCTTGTGTGCACTAATATCGCTGGCTTCTCGCCGTAACTCACGAGTGGCGTTTTAAGGATGTGGACCCTGAAGCTTCGGGAAAACACAGGAGCTGCTTTGAGGAGCAGGGGCAGATCTGGAAGTGTTCATGGGAGGAGAGGCGTCTCATGCACCCCTCTCATCTGCTTGAGGCAAATAATTTATCTCAACAACAAACAATAATGACCACGGCCGTAGAGACAGTTTGGAAAAGGGTGGAGCTGTGTCTCATACATAAAGGGAGCTCCACTGGTGAACAGGACCCTCATTTCATTCATTTTCTCTCTCCTCCTCTCCTGCTCTCATTTCTCCTCAATTTCCATGACCCCCTCCCTCGGTCCAGCCCCGTGAGCGCACATACACTAGATTATACACTTTGGGTACATTTCTCATTCTCTTCAGAAATACACTGTGATAACAATTAGGAACAATTATCTAAAACCTGGAAATAGGCCAAATGATGTCTTTCCAATGCCGTGTAACAAAGTTTGAGTTTCAATTTGGTACACGGTTGGGTACTTGATAAAAGACTTAAAATGGAAAAAAAAAGTACAGCCTGTCTTATTTTTCATTTATGTCAAATGCATAAAAGATTCTCCCTCACCTGCTACTAAAGCAAGCAGCTGATCAAGAGAAACTGGCCTTTGCTTTGCTTCTGAAAAATAACATATTATACTGTAAAATCTTAAAAACTGGTGCAAAAATATGTATGTAATGTTTCAGTGCCAGCTTACCAGAAGTTCAATAACTACGTATGTGTGTGTTGGGAGGAAGGGCAGTGTGTACCCATGCGAAACAACAGTAAAAAAAGATTTTTTTAGTTCAAATTACACGTAAATTATAAATCAACACAAACCAAGATTTAGGCAATTTACTGAGTCTGAGTGAACCTTTCCAACTCAGTTCATTTGCATGCTGGCAGTCATGTTTTTTGATTTATAAAAGGAAAGGAAAATCTGGTTTTCATTCCCAGCTTTTTAAGTCCAAAACTGATAAGCACAGGTCAGGCAAGATACACTTTCCACGTTCAACATTTCAGGAATGACATCCCATGAGGAACGACAGGCCACAGGTCTGCTGAGGTTTAAATTTTTATCAGCTTCAAAGGCAACGCAGTCCCCCAAAGTTCAAAATTAACGTGACTCTGGAAATGAATCTAGAAATACACGGGTTTTTCTTAGAAAACTCCCACAGCACATTCACCCAGAGAAAAGAAGCCATCTCAGAAAACAGGTCATCCCCAAAGGAAGCAGCGGCTCTGACAGAAAAGGGAAGAATAACTTCAACTATTTTGAAAATCAATGTGTATACAGGTTAAAAAGACAAGTAAAAGAAATCTATTTTCTCAGGACCCCTTAGGTTAGGCCCATGTCTTCCGGCATTTCAAGTTTACTGCTACTTACCAACCATACACTTATAAAAGAAGAGGTTATTTCTAAACTGTCTGATACTTATGTTTCGATGTGGGTAAACTTCTGCCACACTGACTAACATATCGACATCCTGGAGTTATCTATTTTGAAGGAAAAAAGAGTCTAAGCTGATGGGTATAAAAAACAAACAATGGTTACCAAAGGGGAGAGAGGGGCAGGGACACACTGGGAGTTTGGGATTAACAGATACACACCACTGTATATAAAGCACATAAACAATAAGGTCTTACTGTACAGCACAGGGAACTGTATTCAGTATCTCGTAATAAGCTACAATGGAAAAGAATCCAAAAAGACACACACACGTATATGCATGTGTATCTGAAATGCTTTGCTGTAACACACCTGAAATGTACATTGGAAACCAACCACACTTCAATAAAAAATAAAATTTAAAAAAAAGGAAGACCATAAAAAAAAAAAAAAGAATGTACTTCCCTACGAGACTGGGATTATGACTAATTTACTGATTCCGTCATTCTCCACCTTAGAGATACCAGTCTTAGGTTTACATGGAAGGAGGTACAGTCATGGCAGACGTCTACGCGTCATCGCAGGGAGGATGTTTATTACCTGCTGTGACGTCCCTCACTGGATGTCCAGGCTGGGAGAGGCTCAGCTTGAGTCTTCCATCACTGAGGACCAGGATGAGAGCTCCCGACCGGTGCTGAAAATGGCTGCTCAGCAGGAGTCCTGCTCTGTTCCACGTTCGAAATTGGAAGATGACGGACACGCGGTCCTCTCCGGAGATGCCTGGCAGAGCCAAGTAACTCCTGGAGCTCAGAAAAGTCACAGGGACGGTCTGAGGGTGTGAGCAGGAGAAGGACACATTTCCCTGTGGACACAGGGAAAGAGGCTTCAGGAAGGCGCAGGAGGGACGCTTCCATCCACTGACCACAGATTTTCCGAGACTTACAGGATCTCTTATCGATGAAATAGCTCAGCAAAATAGGACTTCAGAAATAAGGCTTCCCCATTGAACTTAAATCCAGATTACCTTATAGGTCCCTCAAAGGAAAGCACCTTCAGCTGGGCAGACCTGTATCTGAGCCCGTTAGCATTGCCCATCTTCTCCATCTCTCAGCATTTGCAAAGGAATCTCGAGCCAAGTCTTCCCCCGCCTTGTGCTGGGGGCAGGGTACCACAGGAAGAGGCGGTTTTCCCCCTTGAGGTGTTAGGTGGTTTTCTCCCACGTAAAGGCCGGCACCACCAAGGATCACCAACCCCTAGAACATTCCTGGACTCGCCTTGGTCGTGTAAATGTGATTTAAGCGTGTCACTCAGACCACGGACGCGTCTTACTGTAGGTGGGAGATGTGCTTCTGCAGGTCTGAAGAAAAGGGTGCGGCCAAGCTAGTCCTGACATAGGCAGGCTGGCCTCCTCTCCGAAGTTCTCACAAAGCGCAGTCACCCCGGGCGGTCACCCAGCCTCAGGTCTGACCTGCCTAGCAGGCTGTTTTTATTTTTCTATAACTCTGTTTTTAAAGACATTTTTGATCCCTAGGACCTCTTCACTGCACCAAGAAAAGTGATTTTTAGTCACAGTGTTTGAAGGGGAAGGACTTAACGGGATTATAATTCAGCTCTCTACAAGAACTTTCCCTGGGACTGAAAAATCTTCATAAATTTTAGATGGAAGCATACATGCTCAAACCTTGCCCTTCCTCCCCAAAATAGATTACGCAGAGAAAAAGTGAGATGGAACTGAAGTTACCAGAGAGCAAAGCATACTATAAAGTCATTGTAATCAGGACAGTGTGCTGCTCGTATAGAAACAGATGCATCGACAGAACAGAACAGTGAACCCACAAAAAGATCTACGTTTAGACGTAAAGTTAGTACATAATGAAAGCAATGATTCAACCACGTGGGATTAAAGTTGGGTTAGTTACTAAAGAGCGTAGGAACAAATGGACAGCCATGAGGCAGAATATGAAAATTAACCCTTATCGTAAATCACATAAAGAACAAACTTCAGAAATCAGAGACTTAATTTTTTAAAAAATTAAAATAAATTTTTCTTACAAGAAAACCCATGAGACCATATATAGATTATAGGGTTTTAGAGATATTCCAATGCTATAAAGAAATATACAGAAACGTATTGACCAGAGACAAATAAAAACACGTACGTACTCAACACGCCATTTAATATTTAATATAAAAATTGATAAATCTGAAAAAATACATGGACCATGCATGACAAAGGGTTATCAAATATAAAACTCTAATACACTGACAAAAAGCTAAAAAAAATAGATGAAAGAATAACAATAAACATTGATCAGAAAAGCAAATCCAAATGGACAAGAAACAGGTGAAAAGATGATTTAATTCATCAGGAGCCACATAAACACGAAGTAACAATGAGAGATGAGTTCACGTTCACTGAGCTGGCAAGAGCCTAAGCGAGGCGAGACGGGTGGCTGGCTGAGATGCGATGGAAGGGTTCTAACACAGATCGCTGGTGGAAGAGGGTCCTGTTAGAGCTTTTTGGAAAGCAATCCAGCAACATTTATGAAAGTTTAAAACTGTATCGAACTTTCAACCAAGAAATTTCATTCTGGAACTTCATCCCATCAAAACCAAAGCTCCCAGTATCTGAAAACACAAGTGCAACTGTCTGCTTTTTATAATTAAGAAGTAGAGATAAAGCAGACAGTTTAAGTAGGAGATGACTGGATAAATAATAGCGGTACACTTTCATAACGGAAAGTGATGTAGACGCCTCAACACAGAACTATTCCTGATAACCAAAAAGAATTTCCATGAGGTATTCCTGAGTCAGAGAATCACGATGGAGAAAAGCTTCTAAAACAATCCCATTCTTGTAAACACCGCCAAGCGTGGAGGCACATAGAGTCATGGATACACGTGTGAGCATGAGTCTGCCAGGCAGAGAGGATTCCACGATCGTGGACTGAACGTGGGAGCACACGCCAGCGGGTAACATGCCGGCTCGATGGAGGGACTACAGCCACGTGGGGAGTAAGGAGAAAGGAGGAGCAGGGAATTAATCAAAAAGAAAGACACCGCATTTAAAAAGCCTTTCTATGATCTCCTTTAAACATCTTTGTGAAATTGTTCATCTGTTCCCACGCGTATATAAAAATTAAACCCAACATGAACTAAAAAATGACAGTAGGTGCTCCCTATGCCCGAATTCGGCACCCTCGTACGCAACCAACCAGGAAAATATCTGGCAAAAGAATTCCAGAAAGTTCCAAAAAGCAAAGCTTGAATTTGCCCTGCACTCACAACGATTCACGTAGCATGTGCACTGTATGTACAACTATTTACACAGCCGTTACATTGTGTTAGGCGTTGTAAGTACTCTAGAGATGACTTAGAGTATATGGGAGGGTATGTCTAAGTTTTACACAAATATTGTGCCATTTTATACAAGGAACTTGAGCATCCTTGAATTTCGACATCCCAGGAAGGGTCTGGAACCAATCCCCGAAGGGTACCCAGGAATGACTGTACATTTGATTTGCACCTTCCCCGCCTTCAGTTAAAACCGAATCCATCAAACAAATTGCAACTCCTTTTTCTCTCGAATTTGCATAGAGACCTTCTTACCGTGATGAGGATCTGTGGGTTGTGTTTCTTGGACAAATCAATGATATCCACTCCATTATAATAGAGATTTTCAAAGCAGCCATGAAAGTTTTTATGCGGGAGCATCACTGATTTTCCACGTCCAGGAGTCCCTCCAAAGCTGATCTTAGAAAGAAAAAAATGACATAAATAATATTGTTTACTGATCTTCTGATTATTTGCCTCAACGGTTATGATGAACAGGTGTGATGATAATGGTCTTCAGTCTATCTGGCGTTATTTGACATTATCACATTAATTTCAAGTGACGTTTCAGACGCAGATTTATCGATGCCTCGTTTATTATATTTAGATTAAACAGGTTAAATACCTTGTTTCACAAATTTGCTGCTCACGGGGCTCTGTCATTTTTGTTGATGGGGAATAACTGCATCTTTCTGTCCATGGTAGATCTTGATCTGGGGGACAATGTAGCCTACCTTGGTGACAGTCTATTTAAAAACCCAGACTGCCAGGTCCTGGTCTTTTTCATGTCTCTGATAGGCTATAATGAATAATTAACCCTCTGATCACATTATTCAAGACCAGGCTCTCCAGCTGGTCTCTGCTGCTGGGACCACTCACACCAAATGAGTGTGGAAATAATGGTTTGCTGTGACAGGTCTGCTGAGCAGCACTGGCCAAACAAATGCTGCATTTCAGTGTCGGTTACACACACATAGTCAACATGCTGCGAAAAATTATTAAGCCTTTAAAAATCCCAAGAGAGGGGAGGGTACAGCTCAGTGGTAGAGCGCACGCCTTAGCATGCCCAAGGTCCCGGGTTCAATCCCTGGTACCTCCACCAAAACTAATAAAATAGATAAACAGAGAAATAAAATAGACAAACATAATTACCCCCTCAAAAAATAATTAATTAATCAAAATAAAATAAAATGGAAAAAAAAAGCTTTTTAAAAAAAAAATCCCAAGAAACAGTATTCTGAGCTGTGTGCATTTGACTCCCTTGTTACTTGAAAAGTCGGGTTGGAATGTGCACTGGTTATTTTTCCCAGTTCTCCTAGGTCGCCAGATCTGCTCAGGATTGTCCCACTACACACAGAAGTCACCAAGGTAAAATTCACAGCCAAACACCAGATGTAAGACAGAAGAACAGTGCCATCAAAGAGGTTTCCTAAATTTAATGACTACTTGCTCTCATTTGACAATTGACATCTGTAAGGGATGAAAAGTCTCAACAGCCGAGCGTGGTATCTCCCACCACGCACGTCGCCCGTAGGAAACAGTCCACCAGAATTCTGAATCACTAGGAAATGCAGTTTCTGTATGTGGTCATCCTTCTCTAGAAGGTGACACTGCACCCAGGTGATAAAATCTGGAATACTTAACGAGTAATTTTCACACCTCATAATCCAGGTCCAAATAGCTGGACTCTCCCTTCGCTTGAAAGCGATGAGTGTGGCCGTCCACGGAGAAGGTGACGTCCGTGTTGAAGAGCTCGAGGAGGACAGAGTGCCAGTGCTGGTCGTCCAGCAGGCTGCCCAGCGCGAGGGCCTCGGGGGAGGGCGGGTTAGCATCGCCTGGTAAACAGAGGATGAGGAGTAAGAGAACCACTCCATCCAGCGCCAGGCTGCCATTTCTGGGGGAGCGGAGAGCTCAACGGGAGAGCAGCCACCTGGCATGCGGGATGTCCTGGGTTCAACCCCCGGCACCTCCGTTAAGAAATAAATAAACTTAATTACCTCCCTTCCTCCCCCCCCAAAAAGACTACAATTTCTATTTTGAGGTTTAGCACCTCTCACAAATGTACTTTCCTTACATCCTTCTGTCCCAGGAACGGGTCAGCTGCTTTTATCTTTATCTGAAGCACAGTGTTCTTTTGATCTTGAGTAAGATCATCTAATTTACTTCTTTTTTATTATGATGACTCACTGAATTTTCCTTCTTCTTGAAAATATTTTCTTCCTACCACCTGATTAATAGTATTACCTCAAAAATTTATGATGTGTCCCTCTTGTCTTTACTATATTATCAGCAGTGACTAGTGATCTTACACAACTGTCAAGCCATAAAACTTTTTACATAAAAGCATACTCAAGATATATACGTGCCGTTCTCAGCTACAGAAACAATAAAAAGATCGTGGTTTCCAGGGGGTTGGGGGGAGGGAGGGAGGGAGGAATGAACAGATGAAGCCAAAGGGATTTTTAGGGCAATGAAATTACTCTGTATGCTACTATAGTGGCTACATGTCACCATTCATTTGTCAGAAGCCACGGAATGTACAAGAGTGAACCCTCATGCAAGCTATGGACTTCGGTTGATAATAATGTGCCCACGTTGTTTCATCAATTGTACCAAATATGCCGCATTGATGAGGGATGTTGAGGGGAGGGGAATGTATATATGTGGGTGGGGAGGGCTATGTGTGAACTCTCTGTATTTTCTGCTCAGTTCTGTTGTGAACCTGAAACTGCTCTAAAAGAATAAAGTCTATTTTTTTTAAAAAGATATATATGTGCTGTACTCAGAAGACCTCAACTGTTGGGTGACCATGCCCCCATGTGCCTGGCCCGTTCTGGTCTTCAGAGTAATTACTTATAGGCTCTCCTTTTTTTCTCAAAAGTCTTCTGATTTTAGGATTACATTAACTACTTAACTGGGGGGAAAAATTAAGCATAAGAAGATACTTTTGTCGAAAGAGTATTTTCAGAAACACCACCCTTTCGTTCTTTACCTGCGTGAAGGAGCAAGATGAGTCTTCCTTTAACTAACTCCAGTGTGATGTGTTTACCATTCTGTCCTCCTCTGTGGAGTAGAATCCCGTGGTTCTGTCTGGTTTTAAATTTCAGAGAAATAACGTCTTTGGTTGAATTCATGGATTTCTGATGAAATGTGTACAGCAGGGAACTTTTCCCATCAAAACTAACCATCTCAGATCCTATAGCAGAAGACATAAAAAGTGGTCTAAGTATGATATACTTTTATTAGTACATTAAAGTGCATAAATTAACACACACGCATACATAGTATAATTCTGGTTTGTTTAATGTAGGGGAAAAAATGGTACCACCAACTTTCTCTTGATACTAGTGGTGGAGGTGCCTAAACTTCACTGTTGCCATTTTCTGACATTTTCCCCAAAATATGTCATCTAGAAAGACTTTCATTGACTAATTCCAATTGCTCTTATCTTTTATTAGGCTCCTATTCCCATCCTGTAAAAAGTGCAAATCAGGGAAGAAGTTGAAGTCAGTCTTCCCTGAATAAAATCTCCCTGGATATTTAACAATCATCCAACATTGCTCTTTTCTGAGAAGTTATAATAGTTCGCACACACTGGTAAGAGATAAAGTATCAGTGTCACTCAGCGTAAACGGCTTAATTGTTCCCAAACCAGCAGCTCTGACTTTTAACAACCCTCACATAAGCAGTCACTTAAACATACTTTTGTCTGGCCATAAAAGACATGCATAAAAACACCAGATTTACTAAATACTACTTTAAACTCGTATTAAAGGGTCTTCAGTAAACTGGGATATTTTTCCTCCGAACATTTTGGCCCAGTGACAGCACAAAAGGGCAAACATTACAAACGTTACAACACAAAACACCTATTTAGTAGTGTGCTTACGGTACAACAGAAAACACTTTTTTTTTTAATTGAAGTAAAGTTGATTTCCAGTGTTGTTTCTGGTGTACAGCATAGCGATTCAGTTGTACACATACATATATTCCTTTTCATAGTCTTTTTCATTATAGGTTATTACAAGTTCTGAATATAGTTCCCTGTGCTGTACAGCAGGACCTTGTTGTTTATCTATTTTGTGTATAGTAGTGTGTATCTACTAATCCCAAACTCATAATTTATCCCACCTCCCCTTTCCCTTTTGGTAATCATAAGTTTGCTTTTTATGTCTGTGAGCATCTTTCTGTTGTAAATAAGTTGATTTGTGTCATTTTTTTACATTCCACTCGTAAGTGATATCATATGGTATTTGTCTTTCTCTATCTGGCTTCCTTCATTTAGTGTGAAAATCTCTAGGTCCATCCATGTTGATGCAAATGGCATTATTTCATTCTTTTTATGGCTGAGTAGAATTCCACTATATATATATATATACCACATGTGGTATATATATATATACCACAACTTCTTTATCCAGTCATCTGCTGATGGACATTTAGGTTGCTTCCATATCTTGGTTATTGTAAATAGTGCTGTTATGAACATTGGGATGCATGTATCTTTTTGATTTAGAGTTTTCTCTGGATATATGCCCAGGAGTAGGAATGCTGGATCATAGGGTTAAGTCTATTTTTAGTTTTTTAAGGAACCTCCACACTGTTCTCCATAGTGGCTGCACCAAATTACATTCCCACCAGCAGTGTGGGAGGGTTCCCTTTTCTCCACAGCCTCTCCAGCATTTGTCATTTGTGGACTTTTGAATGATGGCCATTCCGACTGGTGTGAGATGATACCTCATTGTGTTTCTGATTTGCACAAAATACCTATCTTGTGTGACGCCTTAAGCACAATGTGAAGGTCCTCCTGCTTCAGCCATCACTGCACTGCTGCCATTTTCTCTGAACTTTCTGACTGTGTCTTATCTTTCCAACTCTCGAGGTCACCTGCACTCCATTTAGATTAAGTTATATTTTACCATTAATATAAAAGGGCAGGCAAGCCAACTGAAGACAGAACAAGAAATGCACAAAGGAATTTAGATCATCCAGAAAAATCTCCTGTTTCAGAAGTAAAAACAAAAGACATAACTGTCCCTTAAAAATGCCTGTGTATGATAAATGAAGGTCCAAGAAAAAGCAAATGAAACATGAAGCTGATGTCTTTCAAGCCAATGATAGAATGTTGTTTATTTAGTATCAGAAACACTGTGACGAATGTATACTTGGACCTGCATTTCTTTCAGATGAACCAAAGTTATTTACAGTAAACCCTTTATGTTCACAACCTAAAAGAATCATCCATTTTATGCAATTACCTATTGAAAATTCAGAAAGTTGACTCATAGACATGGTGTAAAATATATAAACACTACATTCGGTCTATGAGCCATGTAAACAAACAATTATTCTTCATTGCATAACTAAATAAACAGGGCTGATGAAACCGTAACTGTCAATTTGAAATGATGTTCTTTAGGACATTAGATGACAATTAACTGACGAAAACTTGATGATGAAGATTCTAAGTGCTCTCCCATTTTCTGCAGGGTTGCTTATGTCTGTCACTGAAAGGCAATGATAATAATTAAGGCTTATTTTTGCAGTCAGCGAACACTTTTTTTCCCTTAAATGATTTTGCCAGGATGATTTTGATCAAATCATCTTTGCCCTCCTCTTCCTTGTCGGCCACTATTGCTTTGTAACAGTAATGTTGATTTTCTAAGAATCTGAATCTGGCATGTTCGTTGAGCACAGATTGCTGGGCTCCATGTGAGACTTTCCCACTAACCAGGCTTAGGGGTGAATCTGCATTTCTAACAAGTCCCCTAGGAATGCTGATGCTGCTGGTCTGTGATCATATTTTTTTAAGGTATTTATTATTATTTTTAAATTGAAGTATGGTCAGTTACAATGAGTCAATTTCTGGCGTACAGCATCATGTTCCAGTCATACATATACACACATATGTTCCCCTTCATATTCCTTTTCATTATAGGTTGCAACAGGTTATTGAATAGCGTTCTCTGTGCTACACATTATAAACTTGCTGTTTATGTATTTTATACACAGTAGTTAGTATCTGCATATTTTGAGAGCCACTGCCCTACAGCACCGACATATTTCCTGGAACATCCCCCTCAGGCTAAACAGAGCAGTGAAATATTTATTAAGTGACAGAAACACAAAAGAAGGGCCTTAAAATTCTTTTGTTCTCATGTTTTGACTTTCTGTCTAAGGCGATCAGTAACACTTGTACTGAGAACAATTAACCACATGTTAGTCATCAAATTGTATCTTACGAGGCAGATTCAACGTGTATTTTGACAGATTATTTAAGCCTAAAGTGACTAAGTTATAATATAAATACACAGCCAACTGAGTGAAGCACAACCACCTAAAAGATAACGTCTCTTGTAAGAGTCCTGAGAGTTTAACCGAAGTCTGAAGTGATGACAAACTTAAGCTCAGCTTAAGAAGTTAAAAAAGATAGAAGAAGTCAGAAATTGCTTTGAGAAGTCTGGACTGTTAGGCAGCTCCTCCCCTTTATCTGAAATCATCCACATCACTCCACAGTCCCATGAGATAATTTCCAAAGGTTTGTTTAAAAAAAAAAAACAACAACAACAAGCTAGAAAACCAAGAAGAGGTGGTGAGAGCACAGCTGCGTGCAAAGCCTGACCTATCTGCCGGCTGGTCCTTCCCAGAAGCAGCCTGCCGTCCCCCACGCTGAGAACCGCCCCGCGATGGAGCCTCCGCCTGGTTCCTGATCACCGAGCGGTGAGAACGAGCTCGCCGCCAGACATGTTTCCATCCTTTGATTTAAGAACCAAAAACCCTACTTTACAGAGGAAACCCCACATTTCATTACTTCTGTTGCCCTTCCTTACTGCATGATTCAGTATACGTGGTGGCTCCTCTTGAACATGCATTTTATAAGGCAAAGAATAGGTCAATATTTCGGCTCCTGGTTATATATATTCTGTGTATAATATCAAAGACTGGTTTTTCTATAGCTTCAGACTCCGCTTTGGCAAGGATTTTGCTCTGGCACAACATAGTTTTGGCATTAAAAGGCCATTTTGGGGAGGGGGAGGGTATAGCTCAGTGGTAAGAGGGCGCGCTTAGCAGGAACAAGGTCCTGAGTTCAATTCCCAGCACTTCCATTAAAATAAATAAGTAAATAAATAAACCTAATTACCTCCCCCCAAAACCAAAACAAACAAAAAAAAATAAATAAAATATTTGTTTAAAAGGCCATTTTTTCCTCCTTCTACCCTCTCCCCCACTGCCAACCTAATTTCCATCCATCCCACAAGTAAAACTCCATTTTCAGTGGGTATCAACGTTGAATCTACGAAGTATCACAAAGGCTGCCAGATGCTGGGATAAAGCAGAACAGGACAGACATGGCCCGGCCCTCCCACAGCTGGCAGTGCTTCCCTCTCTTACTTCTGCTGCCATGAAAAAGCGTGTTTCACCTGTACTCGCCCAGTGTCTTCCTGCGGGTTGCTAGGTGACAAGGAAACAGCGCACAGTTCAGGATGGAAGTAGGAGAAAGAAAAGCTCTTGTCTGATGAAAAAATGTTTGGAAAGAAAGTATGCAAAGAATCCAGGGAATCCAGGCATTACACCATCACACAAAACTTAAAAATAGGCATCCAAAAGTAGCCAACCGTGGTTCAAAAAATGGGCTGCACTGTTGCTGAAGCCCCCCAGTTAAGCCCATCCAGTAAGTGCATCATTGTCACAAAAGATGATTTAGAGCAGGAATGTTTAGATTAGAAGCTCAATTATAGGCCCCATAGAGAGAATCCATTTTATAAAGTGTCATTTACTTAGAGATGGTCATCAATCAACCTGAATATTTGAAAACAAATTGGCAATTCAGTGAATATAATTTTTTTTAAAAAATCAGCACTAAATATTCAAACACGATTTGTAAAAGCAATAGATTAAAAATGTAATTTTAAAAAAAATCCTATTTGGGGATACAGAGTACTTGGCTCGGGGAGCCGGCAGCAGTGAGCTCTCCAGGTGTGGATGGGGGAGAGCCCCAGATGGTCCCCCCTGAGTTCACTCTCCACTCAGCAGAGGCTCCCTTGACCTTCATTCTGTTGGTCACGGTGTGACCTGGAGAAGCCACCTTCAAGACTCAGAGCTCACTGGTAATGAGTGCTAGGGTGACCTTGACCCCATCAGTCCACTAGCGTTAAGAGTTTTGCTATTAGACTACGATAAGAGCAAATAAAATTT